CACTCACACTCGTCCAACATGTTAGATTAAGCTCATCAACCAAACCAGACATGTCAGTTTACGCAACCCCAGTCTTTTCTTTCCTTGGGGGGTTAAACGTTAATGACCCTCGACTGAGAGGTTAGGACAAGTGGTTTCGTAACTTGGCTTTCATGCTTACAAGCTCATATCTCATTATCTCAACCATACTTGTTTACGGACTTACGCAGTCTCGGTCAAGGCTTTCTCTTGGATCATTAGGTCTTGAGGATCAGAACCTGAGATTAAAACTTTGAGTCTATATAAGAGGAAAGATAGAGCCAGATAGTCTTCTTGGTCTAGTGCTAACCTGAGACTCTTACAAGAATGAAACCCAGCTCTGATGATGTCCATCATATGATGTACGAAAGCTTAGGACGTTTTCACCCGAAACGAGGGAGGAACTCTTGTGGACTGCGTCAAAATGAATATCGTATAAAAGCCAAACAGCTGCAGTACAACGAGATTCATCTGTCCTCATCTGGTGAGATCGACCAATGAATCTCTTCTTCATTTACTTCTATGCGAACTGAAAGTCATCCTCATAATATTATCTCAAGAGATTCATCGAAACCCAGTTTCTCTTCGTATCTACAACCTCGAATTAGTTGACAAGTTTAGGTTCAAAAACAAGCTCCAGCTTAAGCTATTCTTCTCCTCTTACTACATCGCTTCTTCCTGTTCCCTTTCTTTTTCTCTCTTTTTCTCTCCCTCTCATTCTATTTAGAAGCCAGAGACAGTTTTTACTTAGTTTCCTACATTCATCCCTCTTATTAAGGATGTTGTTTGTTTCGTTAATTTCAATCGACTGTAGCAACCACATGTTCAACCACTTGTGATTTCTGAATCCATAAGCCTTTGCAGTAGGTTCTGTGTTCTGGTAGCCTCTAGTGTATGGGTCTACAAGTATCCCTACATAAAAACTACCATATGAGCGCAGAACCTTATGACAACCCGATCTGCAGAGGGCGACGGAAGATTGTCTAAAAGAGGGCATGATCGAGGAAAGCGTTATTGCTTCTTTATACGATATCCGGTGACGCCAATCTACCAATCCCCTCGACCCGCCTTCTCGAACGAAATGAAAGGTATGCCAATATCAATCTATTGAGGGATTCTTCAAAACTCAGCTTCTCTTCATATCTCAAAAGTTACTTCAATTCTGGTCTTCTTCACAAGCCCGGCTCCGTTTGGCCAGACTGCTGTCAATGCAGTCAAGTGCGTCATCAGGCAAACTCGCTAAGATTTCGGGCCATCAGAGGCATACAGTTGAAGCGATTAATACTGTGCTCTTCACGGTTTCGGTATCCTCATGAATGACCTTCAGTAAACGAAATTGTGACGGCAACCAAGCGCAGTCCGTCGAGGCTTGTCTGAGCTCTTTGGATTGACAATATTTTGCCTTAAACTCGCTAAACTTGTGATCAAGCAGGACCTCCATTTGCATGGAAAAGGAACCGGCCCGGCTGAATTATCTCAGCAAAGTCCAAAGAGCACACTTCAGTTCACTCTGTTACAGGACACTTTAATCTTTCTGATGAATTGTTTGCATAAGCACTACTGTTATATTGATTTTTCACTGGTCTAGTCTAGGTTCGATCGCCCAACTGGCAAATTTACGATGTACTACTGGGAGGATCGATTCCCAGGCCCATCTGATCTGATGCTGTCCAGATGGATTCTTTAAGAGGCCATTCAGTTCGTGAAAAGCCATGAACTGGCTGAGCAGTTGTTATCCTTTCTGCGGCTGCATGCGATTGTCCGCACCGTAAGAGCTTTTTATGACTGCTTATCTTCTAGGCGTTCCGGAAGTTTGAGTCGATGCTGCGAGTCCGGTGAGATGAGAAAACCAACGCGATCGTAGTGACTTGAGACGAGACATACCGTGTGACGAATCTCCTCATGCAAAGAGCCTTCAGAGAAGTACGTGGAATCTCGAGAGGGATGAGTCCCGTTTGCGGCGACGCCGTCTCAGCAGGTCTGACTAAGGCGCCAACAAAGCTGATGCTGTTGTTGTGGCAGAGGTCAAGAAAATGTTCGGTTTCGCTGATTTCGTTGATGTTGTTAATGCTGCTATTGTCATCAAACTCGAGAATTTCGCTGGCGGCAATAATGGCAAGGAAATCGACGATGTGGCCAAAGTTGACGACTTCGCCGATAGTTTTGAGCCAAAGTTGCTGATTTCTTTGAGTTCACAAATGTCGCCACTATTATGAGTTGGTATTTTTTGCCGATTCCATTGAATTCTCGATTTTTTAGCTTCCCTAGAGTTGCACCCTTTCCTCACTCCCATGACACTACCAACGTCTCTTAATCTGCCGGTAGATTCAAAGACTACGTCGATTTCAACTTTTCTCTGATGATGCCGATTTTACCAATTGCACCGAAGCTTTCGATTTCGTCAATCCTGCCGATGTTGGTCATCTTGAACATCCTGCTGGAGCATCCAAATTCTCTTCTGCTGCCGATGTCGCCGATGTGATGGATTTCATGGTGCCAGCAAAGTTGCTGACGTACCTGG